ACTCTGCCTCTCTTCTCCAATTTTATAAAGGTATTTTATAGATAAATATACTAAAAATCTATTAACACGAAAATGGTAATCTCTAGTAACAAGCCTGTTTCAGAAATTGACTTTGCTACCATGTGCAACATACACATATGTCCCTGTCTGTCCTGTTATTTCCAACTCCTACCTGTGTTTCTCATCTTTTCCAATAATGCATTTGCACTACAGGTTTCTTGGTGCTCTACTGAGGGCTACAGAGCCTCAGTCCTTCTGTGGAGGAGCACATCTGCCTCCCAGATTGTAATGCACATCCAACCTCAGGAAAACCTCTTCAAGTCATGTCTGGGTTCTAGGACTCCTTTCATCACTACCTCTGGATCCCTTATACCAAGAACAGAGCTTCTTGTTTTCTCAGTGGAGTATGAACAGTTGGTGGTTTGTTCAGTGTTAGTTACTCAGTCCAAAAAAGAAAAAGAATTATTTAATTCTTTGGAATATGCTTCTTCATCCCATTGCATTCAGGGGCTGAGAGTGACTTGCTTTGTAGGTCCTGCATGCCGGTGCAATAAATATTCCTGAGTTGTGGGCAGTCACACAGATGGCAGGTTTCTGCCATTTGGTCCAGTGTTTGCCCTCTTTAATGCCATAGCAGTGTGCCTGTTCTCAGTATTCATCTGTTGCCTGCTCCTATGTGCTGCCAACAAACTCAGAGACTAGTTAGTTGCCAAACTCTCTCTCCTCTTCATTAGCAGACACAGATCAAAGTGACAAAATTAGGAATCAGGAAATGAACAGACACAAGAAGAGGTAAGAGGAAAAATTTCACACAGGCCACAAACATTTGCTTCCTTTCTACCTTGTACTTTTTTACTTCTGCTGCACAAAAAGCTGCAGCTAGAGAGTCTTCTCAAAATTTTCCACTCACTGAAACAAGCTCTCTACCTTGATCTGACTTGCACACTTCTTTTTGCTACGCTGAGCTGTGTGGTGAACTTTTTTGAACTTTTTTGTGTCAGAGTTTCTAGCTATCAAATGTGTTCCATTTTGTGACTATAAACTAAGTGTCGTCTTTGTTTCTCTGCCGTGCTGTAGATGCCAAATTGGAGGCCATGCCAAGGCTTTGTATTTTACAATGGAAGTGCTTATGAATAGAAGCTGATTAAGGCTTTGCTTTCGATCCTGCTTTTTTGAAAGGAACAGGCTGTAGTGAAGCTTAGTTACTTCTGACACATACTATTGCATAGCAATGTATGACATTAACACCACCAAATTTCTGGATTTGTCTGCTTTGCAGATCCTAACTGGGCTAACTTGATAGCTATTAGTGCATGATGTCTCTAGGTGAGGCTGTGATTGTAAGGGGTGCCATACATTGTCACCCTTTTTCTTTCCTTTCTAGAGAATCTCACTTTTCAGTTTAGGTCTATTCCTATTAAGAATTTGAGGTGATCATGCCTACACTACTGCGTATAGCCCACTAGGAAAAGAAGTACTAGCTCCCTGTCTTATATACTTACTCCATCTAGGATGTTTCTGAATCTATTGCTTTGATACCCTTCCTGGAAATCATCTTCCAGTTGAGCATACCTGGATCTGGGTGCTGGGAAACCTCACAGTGCAAGCTGAGAAGTAACCTGGTCCCTTTGATTTTTTTTCAGGCTACTCTTCCAGTGTCTCATTACACTGGATGTGTAATGAAAGATTACATGTGTGTATATATAGTAGACAAGTAAAAACATCTTTAGTTTTGTGGAATTTTTTTTAAGTGTCGTCATTATTTTCCATCTAGAAATAGCTCTCCAAGTATCAGCAACTACTAGTCCGAGGCTGAGAAAGGACAAAGTCTGGAATGAACTCTCCTGAACAGAAGATGGAAGAAGGTGGTTTTAAACTCTTGGCTGGCTCAACTGTGGGGCCAGACACACAGCAAGCTCAGCTTTGTTTAGTGAGTGGTGTGAGTTCTTCCTGTAACACGCCTTAAAAGGGAAGTTCTGATTGAGGTAGCGGTTTAGCTGTGAGTCATGCAAGTGAAATGTTAAGTCTGTTTCTCAGACAAAAGCAAATCCAAATTCCTAAAAGTGGTCTTACGCCTGAGCCTCAGAGAGCTTTGTCTTTGCTAGGTGAAAGCAACAAAAAGAAATGGGAAGAATTCTTTCCAGTCTTTTTAATCAAAGAGTCTCTCTGGTAAGTTGCCTGATAAGTAATTACAGGGACTGGTGTAGGGAGTGACATGCAGAAAAGGGTCCAGGAAACATCTTTGTAATTACAGCCTGTTACCATGGAGATCTCAGAAAATGGCAGTTTTGGTTTTTGGCAATTGAACAGCAGATTCTGCACCTGAGAGAAGTTTTTTGTCTTTTCCAATTCATCTTCCGCGAGAGGCAGACCTTTCTCTCCTGAACCATATGTATCTTTGTATATCCCTCCCTCAGTAAAAACCACTGTGTTGTGAATATGTGTACAAGCATTATCTTGAAGAATGCTCAGTTCTAGTAAGTCACAAGATGCTGAATATTAAAAATCTAGACAATACAGAATATGAACTGCCAGCACAGTCAGCAGCAAATCCCACATATCTGGCATCATAGACCTGGCAAAGCCATATTAATTATAATTGTTTTATTGCTATTTAGCAGAATGTGTTCCTCAGCAGCAATCCTTGGCACAAGAAAGGTACTGGGGCAAGAAGGATGGGGAAGGGGAAGGAGAAGAATCACAATAGCTGGGATAGATATCTGGCCGATATACAGTGACTGGACAGTGATGCGCCAATGAATGGGCAGCAGGAAGGAGTTTGCCTTCTCCAAGCAGGCTGCATCTGTGTCGCAGAGTAGCTAGATACTCTGCACTCGTACATTGATTGATTGTTTTTTCATTTTGCTAGCAATTGCAAACTGCATTTGTAGGGCTTTCTAATCTAGGTTACACAAGGCCTGCTAACAGTAAATGCCAGCAGCTCTGTTAACCCTAAAGATTTGGGTCAGATTTTAAAATGATGTTTAAATTGGTAATTGAGAATACTAAACGTTCTCATTAAAAGTTTGCGTAAGTCAAAGCTGGGAGCAAGGCTCACTGTGCCCTCTAGTGTGCACAGTCTGTAGCTCCACTGGGCATGAGGGAAATGAAGCTGTTTTTTCTAGCAGTGGATTGGCATGGCAGACTTCTGCGTGTCCTCAACATTGCCCACACAAGACAAAGACTAGAATTACAAGGCACTGCACTGAGCCTGTTGCACTTTGGCTGACATGGTACCCACAGATAAGGCACAAACACAGTTGTTGTGGTCTGATGGGAACTGACACTGCACATGAACGGATGTATTGCCTAAGCACAGATCAAGCATGTAAGTTTACAAGTGAGGAAAGAAAAATTCTGTGCTCTGGTTTCCTTTTGTCCTAGATAAAGCCCATACAAAAAAAAAACCCTGTTGAACGTGAGTATTTCTAGCAGTTTTACAGGTGGCAGAGATGAATGCTATTCCCCTTACCTCCACAGTTTTTGTCCTGTCAAGTTCTGAACATAGCTAGGGTCCTAAATCTTAAACTATGTATGGGGCTATACTGACATCTCCCATGTTCTGTACTTGTCTCAGGCCTGGTCTTTGCTGGCAGTCTCGTCCCCAAATTGCTTCATTATCCTCTTAATGTGTTTAGTCTGATGATCCACTATTTGCTGTTCTTTCTTTATGTCATTAAATTTCTCTACACACAGATAACTCCTTGTGTCAGTAGCCTCAAATCCATTCAGCAATGCAGTCCCAGGAAGAGGTTGGCTAATGTGTCTGAGCAGTCTCCTAAATGATTCAGTAACTGCGTAACACTTAACTGCGAATGTCCAGAACATGAAGGCAATGCAGTGTTGCCACTGGCTGCTGCAGAGCCACTCTGATTCTGCCTATTGAAATAAGGTGGTGGGAGGGTATCCTGCAGTTCAGATGAAGGCAGCATGCACCATGAGATGCTGTTTGTACGCCATGCATGCAAGGTTCTTGGCCTCTAAGTCTTAGACACTCTACTCCTTTCGTACAGAATCGCCTTTTTTTAGGATCTGATGTGATTTGTCTGGTTCTGTGATTCTATCCCTTTTCAGGCAACTCTTCTCCAAGTCTTCTGATCATAATGCACTGATAACATTAGCCTTTAAAAGCTGCTGGTATCTCATATTCTGACACTTGCATCAGTATGTTGGAGGAAAAAAAAAGTGAAGTAATGACGCTGGAATATGCCTGCCCAGCATGCAGTAAAGCAGCTACTTATCATAAAAGGAAGATGTCATGTTCCAAATCACTGAACTGTAGACAAGCTTCCACCCTCCGCAGTTACCAAGCTCAGGACTATTGCTGAGCTTATGACCTCCCCCAGGTTGTTCTTCCCACTCATTATTTTGCCAGAGGGTGCAAATTCATTGTTTCATTCACTTCCTCTAACAGCTTTCAAGGGGTTCCCCCAATCATTCTCTCTTTTCCAATAGCAATCAGCTTTTTCCCCAGCCAAAGCACTTGATTTCAGAGGAACGTCACACTGTAGTGCCTGTGCCTTTCCTGAAGATCTTCAAATGTCCTTTTTTACCTACTGACAGGCAACTGATAGAGCATAGCTGCCAGGTAGCTTTTTAAGTTCCACCCCTAGATAGCAGTACAGTACATTTCCAGCCCCAGGTTTCACAGAAATAAGTCCTTTAGCAACATTGGATTTTTTTTGCCTTACATTCCTCACTGAAGAGCTGTAAGGTGGTTCTGGATGCTCTGGTGTATGTTCTTCCTGGACTGAGCTGCCCTTAGGACAGGAAACTTGGGAGGTGGAAGTCTTCTCATTTGTCTTCATGAGATTCTCCAAGAATTCAGAAGAAATCATTGGTCTCCTTTTGTGGCGAGAGCAACTTTTCTGTGTAACGGGTGTTCTTTGTGAGAGCCAGAGACCATTGTTACTTACAAATGTGTGGTTTTGACAAAATAGGTAGCAGACTTCGGGAAGAGAAACCTTCTTAAATTCTTGTCTGATTCTGATTTTTCATAGGACTCTATGTATTGGTGGGAGCAGGGGCTCTCATGACCACAGTTGGATTTTTTGGGTGCTGTGGAGCAGCGCGGGAGTCTCAGTGCTTACTTGGAGCAGTAAGTAAAAGGTTTCAAGGGCCTGGGCTGCGCAGGAAAATCATTCAAAAGCATATGCTTTGTGTGATTAGTGGAAAGATCTTTGCTGTCCAAGATCTGAAATGTCTTATGTCCTTTTATTGGCTAATCTAGCATCTCTAGCCACCATGCTATTGCAGAGCTTCCATACATGAAGAAATTCCATTGCTTGTCTCATGTGATATATTTCCTAGAATTACCTTCTGTCTTTTCTGAAGCTACCATCTGAGCCACATCTTTGCCATTTCCACCTTTGTTTCCATATTACAAGAAATCTGACTTGACACCCTTGTTACGGACCCTGCTTACCAGCTTTCTTTCAGTTACTGTGTGGGCTGTTAAGGCCTGGGCAAGGATGAGGGACTGACTGGCAGCCCATGTAAAGCAGAATTGTGCAAGTCATATTAATATAAGATTCTCTTCTTCCTCTGCAGTTCTTTGCTTGCTTGTTGGTGATATTTGCAGCTGAGGTCACTGCTGGAGTATTTGCCTTTATAGGCAAGAAAGTGGTAAGTAGCAAGCAACTTCTAATGTAGTAATGGGGCAGTTATGGATTCCAATGCTGACTGACCTACAGTCTGGCTGTTGCATAGGAAAACTTTCCAGGAGACTTTTTCCAGGAAGACTCTCTAACATTCTTATCTGGAGTCAATGAGAGCTTGTGTATCACAAGTCCAGAATGGGATGCAGTTTTTGCCCCCTCTATTAAATAAAATCTATATAGGTGTGGTTCAACCTTACATCCACAAGGAACATCAAGTAGAACTATATCATAAGAGGGTACTGCTTGGGAAAAGGGCAAACAAATTCAAGCACTGAACCTCTCCAACTAACAGTGTTTAACCAAAACACAGAATACAGCATATGTACATTCTGACCCATGCAGAGTCCCTCTGTGGCCATCAGGCCACAAAATCTCCTATCTTTCCAATCATGGTACCTCAGTTTACCAGGCATAATTTTCTGCTCTGGAGGTTGATGCACAAGCTGGAAGTCTGCACTGGATTGAGGGTAAGACTTCTTTGCCACTCACTTGGAAAGTCTGATTTCTGCAGGCAATACAGGAAGCCCAGAAAATCTATGAAGACATTTATGATGACTATATGAAAAACCCAGAGGGGAAGGTCAACAGGACTATCTATCACTACCACTTGGCTGTGAGTAGTCCTCCTGAGCTTTAATACCTTGCACTACTACTCTACTGTCACATTACCCTTTAAAATTCAGAATGCCTCCCACTGAGGTATGAAAGAATAGAACTGAGTGTAATTTAAAACGGAGCCAGAGGCTCACAACCCAGTTTCCTGATGGCTCTGTCAGAATTCCGGTTTTCTGATCCCAAGTGATCCCTACCTTTAACAGTGAAAATGGCCAGGCTTTTAAATTTCAGCTGATGCTTCTGGTCTTTGTTGTGCAGAAGATATGACTATTATGGCCCTTTTGGATATTAAAATCCAAGAATAAATACTCACAAATGCAGAGAGAGGTAAAAGGTCTGAATCTCTCTGCATTTATCAGAGAAAAATCTGTGACCTGTGTCCCAGGAGCTACAATATTGCAGATCCTGTCACTGACTGAACCAAGTAGGTACAGAACCGAAAGCACATGTGTGACTCAGTTCAGGCCACCAAAAAAGTTAGTGTCTGAATCAGAATTAGAACCTGTGATTTCCTGAATCCTATTTGTGTCCATCCTGTATCTACACTGCCTCCCACAGAGAACAAGCCCAAGCTTTGTGGCTCCTTACAGCATTCCCACGTTCTTTAGAACAAACATTTCACAACCTCAGACCCTTTTGTCCTTCTCCCATAGCTGTCATTTCTGACCCAGAGAGGAATTCCAAGCATTTTATGGGAGATAGGCAAACAGGAAAAACAAACGCTCTGAAACACTGATTTATTACTGTCTCCAAACCCAGCACTATGTTTTGTCAGAAATAAAGATTCTAGCATTCTCTGTTGTAGCTTTTGTGCATTGCCCATAATTCTGTATGCAAAGATAGCCAAGGATCTGCTTTTCCAAAATCCACTTGTTTGCTTTGTTATGAGATACTGTGATAAAAATCCCTTCTGGAAGTTGTTGTTAATACAAATTTGTCTGTTTTCTATGGCTTCAGACAATTGAAACTGATTTTTGATAATTTTGGCCCACGCAGTTGGAACTCTACCAGAGGCAGCAGTTAATATAGGGAATAAATTTATTACTTGATCTGTATTGTTTCTTTTTTTTTAGTTATTTATTGTCTCACTTTCAGTATGAAACAAGTCTATGGTTTCCCCTTCTTTGATTCTTCCTACCTCTCTCTCATTTAGCTCCAATGCTGCGGTAAAGATAATATAGAACAACAAATGGGATTACCCTGTCCAGAGAATATACAGATGCCAAAGGCAAGTGTCCTCTGTTCTGGTTGTTCTAATCACTTTCTCATGTCAATTGTTTAGTAAAATTGGATATATTCTATAAGTAAAAGAAAGAACAAACCTCCTTTTTACCTTGCAAATTCCAGCATGGAATTCCATATGAAATGGAGCAGAGCGGAGGCAGAAATAAGTTGGAGGTCATACTGAACATGCCCAGCCCTCATTTCTGAAGCCTGCTTGTAGCATCTCATGGTAGCTGAGACAATATTACATCATCTGAAAAGTGGGAAGGACATAGTAGAACAGGAGTCCTAAATGAAAAGCCCTGTGAAGGCTGAATTTTGGCAAGTGCCTGCCTTAATCATGCATGGAGGCTCCTGACTAGAAACTTCGTTGCTGTTAAGAAGGATTTCTGTTATTTCTGTGTTATTTCTGTTTTTTGTGGAATCTGCTTGTGAGTACAATGTCAATCTGAAGGGCCAAACTTCCTGATTTAGTATGGCCTATCATATAAAGGGTTTATAAATTTAGGGAAAACTGATTGTAAGAAAATTACTTGTGTGTGTCAGCCTGTATAGGCAAGAGGTACAGATGTCTCACTAGAAAAGGGAATATGCTGTGAAAATTGTCCAACAAAACACAAGGCATAGATGCAAGAATTAGTACAGTGACTGCAATAATATTTTTCGTGTTTATCTGTTGTTTAGTGAGAACAGCTGATGGAGTTGCTTGGAGTATATTTTGCCAGGAGTAAAAATCTTTCAATTTTGTTTTTAATAGAACTGCCTGATTGAAATCCAGAATGTAATTGATGCTAATCTGCATTTAGTTGGAATTGTTGGAATTGCAATTGCTGGCATCACAGTGAGTAAATCCACGTTCTCACTCTCAAATCTGTATTTGAGCCCAGTACCCTGTCCCTTACTCAAAGCTTTGTGGAAGGTGTTTTGCAGCAACTGGTGAGATTCCTCAAAGGTGCAGCTATTCTTATCACTTTCAGTGTGTCCCCTCTCTGGGAATTGCCTGCGTGACTTTGTTTTACCAGTTCATTTTGTATCCTTAGACAGAGTCCAAAGTACCTAATGGTAATCTTATTTTGTTGTAATAGTAGGAAAGGGAAAGCAGAGTGCACATGAACCAAACTGAAAAGCAAAAGGCCATAGCAGCATTTCGTCTATTCCAAAACAACTGCAGACTGATGCTTTAGGCCCTTTGAAGATCCATTCCTTAGATTTCATAAGGAATAGAGAGTACCTACCCTTTGTACAGAAACGACTTTCCAGGAAAATGCTGGCTGTAGCATTGGTTCAATGCGAAGGATAGTTTATAAACAGATTTTCTAGGTCATAGATCCAGTGATCAGTATGTATTTTGTTAAAGGAACAGGATTTAGACTGCATAGTTTTCAGAACGGCATTTCTTTCCTAAACACATAGCACCTAGTTACAGGTAGCTGTTTTATCAAATTGTGTCATCAAAGCGGTGATAACTTTCCTTACAGTCCACCTTCTCCCACAAGTGTGTATTGTTGTATTCCCAAGGTCTGGTCCTTCATGACAGAGCTGTGACCAATAGATGTCACCCTGCTACAAGGATATGGCAGGAGTGGGCAGTCTGTATCAAACACAGGCTTTAACAGAAAGCATTTTCCAGCATGCGTGTGCCGTGACTTCCTTCAGACTCAGAAGCCAGCAGCAGTCTGAAGTAGCATGAGGAGCCAGAATATTAGTAAAGAAATACACCTTCAGCTGCTCTGAAGAGCAGGAGGTTCATGGACTTAGGTGGACACGTAAAAGCAGATGAAGGGTTCATGTATGTAACAGAAACCATGGCGTGGGTAAAAGGGATTAAACAATTCTGTGATTTGTATAAAACGTGAAGGTGTACTCAAAAATACAGCAAAGCAACATGGGTGGGACAGAGTTCCAATAACCTCATCGCTCAACAAGGATACACTAGAAATATGAACATCTCTTCTGTGTCTTCCTACCTCAGATACAGCAGAAGTTATGAAATTATAACCTCTTCAGCAGCAGAAACATATCTGTACATTTTTCTGTGCTTGTTTCTGACAGTTCATGGGATATGACTGGTCAGCTGCCTCCTTCTTCCTTAGGAAGGTGTCTGGGGAGGGGATATGAACTCAGTGGTTTAACTGCCTGAGAGTATTGCTCATCTCCCATCATTAAAAATGAAGTGTCAGCAGGTAGCTGCTAGCTGCTTTGGAGGATCAACCTGTGGCAAAAAAGAAATTTCTGGAGACTCTGACAACACCCACTGTTCTCTGCTTTTAACATTCCCTCTAGTTAACTAGTTCCCTAATATGCATAGAGTTTTATATTTAATGTATAGTCTTTGTCTTGAATAGTAACTGTTAAGAGCTTAGCTTTCTCTGTAAAACCGCAATGCTCAGCACCAGTTCCAGAGACCTGGTTCCTCTGGAATCAGTCTCTGCTCTTATTCAAATGTGTACACAATATTGCATGTAGAAGCATTCTGAAACGCAAAACCTTTTGGTGCAATACTAGGCATAATACAATAGTCGCCAATAGTTATTGTCAGTGAAATTTATGTTAATAATATTAATGTTTGGGGCTGTTATGCTGGCCTTAACATTTAGAACAAAGAACAGTGAAACTAGTGTGAGCAGATAAAATCTTGGCTTTGAGTATCAGTGAAATCTCTTTTATGTTAATTGTCTGATGTCTTGGGGTTTGTAGATGGAAGCAGACACTTGCTACTCTGCCATAAGAACCTTCAGATTGTTCTGATATGCAGACTATTTTATAACTGTTTTGTAAGTGGATCCCTAAATTGCATCCCTTCTCTTCTAGATCTTTGGCATGATATTCAGCATGGTTCTGTGCTGTGCGATCCGTAACACAAGAAACATGATCTAAAACTTTCATTGCACAACTATGTCCCAGGAGTTCCAGACTAAGCTTTACAAGAAGTGCTCTTCTACCCAATTTAATAATTGTAATGCATTTTAATCAGTGTTTTAACATACTGAGAGGAAAATATCCCATTAGGTGAGCAGGTGAATTGTATTAGTTACAGTAAAACTGAAGTGAACAAAAAAGGGTTTTAAAATGTCCTTTTTAATGAAAAAAGCAAAGATGCATCTAAGACTAATTTGATTTTTAATGTTTGTATATGTGTAATTAAGAGTTTACACATTTATAGACATTGTGTAAGCGCATGCATATCTCTCCTTACAAACATATATGCACATGCACATGAGCAGGTACCTGTGTATGCAGTACCTTGTTTAGGTAAGTATGTGCAAATGGAATATATTGTATGTGCATGTTTGCACGCATATTCTTCCAGAGTCTCACTATGCAGGAGTGTATACACACCCATACGTATACAGTGCTTGAAACCCTTTCCTACTGAGCCCCTGTTTGCCAAGAATTAGCAGAGGAACAAATGCTATTTTAAAAAGTAAGACCTATGATCCATTTTGTAGCTGTTCTTTCCAAAGCCCAAACAGAATACAATTAATAAAATTGGACTTTATTAAAAAAAATTTAATGCCTAAGGGCCTGCTCCAGCAAACTTTAATTCATGTGAGTAGACCCATTGACTTCACTGTCATGCAGAGACTGGATTTTTTTTTTTTAGGACTGGACCCTTCATGCAAATGCAGAAAGCTCTGGGGGAGGAAACATGTCCAAGGAGATCCAGGCTAAAGGAAGAGGGGGCAAGAGGTGGGAAGCTGGCAAGATAATGCAGTCATTTGGGAGCAATTGCAGTGCAAAGTGTGCGTAAGCTTCCCAAGCTAGCCTGACACACACACACACACACACAAATAATCTATGAGTTAAAGGGGCCACTAAAATCTTTATTCAGAAGTCCCTTTATCCTGCAAGACTCTATATGGTATATATGCTGGTGCAGGAGTGGAGCCTATATCCAGAAAAGCAGCAGCTTTGTCAGATACGCTATAGAATAAGCTTTGTCAGAATACGCTATGGCCTGTGGAAGCCAACCGAAGAGTGAAAATGGTCAGGGAAAGACACACAGCACTTTAATATCCTCTGTTTCAGTTTCTGTGACTATCACAGCTTCCATGGGGCTCTTACCTCAACCTCTCACCCCTTCTTGTGGGTGTAAGGCAGGAAAGAAAGATGGGACATTTTTACAGAGCAGTAAAGTAAATTTTCTTACTGGCACCTTTAGATTGCATGTCAGGTATAAAAATTACACTGTGTGCTTGAAATACCTCAGGGCTTGCGTTTACATAGTTTGTTTCTATATTTTTATTTTTCTATTTGTCATATTTATTCATAAGAGAATGTTCCTTTCAAAATAGCCTAGAAGGGAGAAAGGTTGTCCCCAGAAGGGGTAAATAAATTACATCAAAGGCTCAGAATCTCTTGAGATAATTCACTGTTTCAGAGAACAGCTTTTTGCTAACAATATCCACATAGCAGCTCTGTCTCTCTGCTGATCACTAGTTCAGATATCTGATGCAGTTGTTCCATACACGATGGGGAAAAAGTTCAGCTAAACTATGTATCTTATGGAAATGGTCCATGATATCTAATAGAACTTAGCATTTACAAGTCATGGGGTCTTTATTCCGCTGAAACACAATGGAAAGAAATGGGATTTCAGAAAATATGTGCATTCTAGTGCACATGTTTATGTGGAATATACATCCCTCATGATATTTATCTCTCATTTCCCAAAGAAACTCGAACTCCCATCACTCTGCTGTTACTTCAGGATTGGAAATTGCATTGCTGTTCCATGTATCAGATTTAATTGACACATCTTGCTGTCTTTTACATAGATCTCTTTTCAAATTGTTCAACCACAAACTGTGAGACAGCTGTGCACTAAATGCTGGGTATGCAGCAGGCATTGCCAGCTGAGCAGTTTCCAGGCCTAGCTTCAGGTACGCAGCTGATAGGGAAACATTAAATCGTACGCCAAAGAAGAGTTAGGCTTGTATCACTCTGTTCACAGCTGATTAGCTATGGATGCCATGTAGAAGTAGGGCCATGTAGAAGTAGGGTCTCTGCAAGCATCAGACGAGGAAATAGGGCCCCAATCTGCTCCTAAGAAAGGTTCAACTGGGAGAACGACACTAGCAGCAAATCCAAATGAGGGTCTCAAGCTGAAACTAAGAAAGTAAGTTTCTCACAGCAGACAACTGACATAGCCAAAGCAATTTCCTGGATCCCAGGTACGCTTGAGACTGTCCCTGCAACTGGTTCTGCTCTAAATAGATAATGGCATAGTATACAACTGGGGTGCTTTCTCCCAAGGTAATACTGACAGAAAGAAGAAACCTGTGTGTAGTGTCATTTTTGCCATTCAGAGCAAGACAGCTTTCCAGGAAAACCAGTAAAAATAGCACAATAGGGCAGCCAGTGGTTCAGGTTCCAAGATTATTGCCCTACAGGGATAGAAATTTATTGCAAATAAAGCTATTTCCTTCTGTTACACTCCCCCTCATAATTATTTTATTTATTTTAAACATAATTGGGTTTAATTCCTCAAATTTGTAGCACCAGAATGTAATGATAGGACCAGAGTTTACTTCTTTATTTGTTTACTGTTTCTTGAGTAAGTTGGAAGATGCCCGCTCCTGCTTTTGAGATGCACTGAATAAAAAGGCAGCTTGCAGAAACTTCTGTTGCTTCCCCAGTCCCCCACTCCCCCAGAAGTACAAAAACATCTAAGTGCCTTATGAAAACAGGGAACAGTGGTACAAAGAAACCTTCTATAAATTCAGATTTGAACAACCTAACTTTCTGCTGAAGTGTTTTGGGTTTGTGGGGGTTTTTTTCCTCCTCTGAACAGTGCATTTGTTTTTCTGAGCATAATTACTGCTTATACTCTAGGGTTTATTGCTATTTAGGTACACGGGATACTTGCACTGCATATCAGGAACAGAATAATACCAGTTACTTGTTTAGTTCTCTAAGTTATTGGTATAATTTAAGCTGGAAATCAACATGTTATGCATCTACTAATGCCTTTAACAGAATCCAGAGATATAGCCTCTTTTGTTGTTTCCTGCTGTTGTCTGCTGTTGTGCGGTGCATAATGTATTTGCAATTTTCTCTGCATCTTAGTAACTGCAAGTCTTTTTTAACTCATTAAGGGACAGAAAATACAGCTGTTCTTTCCCTCCCAAAGCTCTAAGAATTCCTTCCTGCTGCTTTTAGATCACAGCTAGTTAACAACTCCAATTTCCATTTAATAGCTTGAGCAGCCCTTTTTAAATGCTCAGATGTCACAGGCAGGGTTATGGCTATCAAAACTGGATATATAGTGCCCACAGTTTATTGTGCTGCTGCTCTTTCATTTCAGCTCTTGAAAGTGCAAAATCTTTGATCTTTGTCGGCAGTACAAAACAATTTCCAAGCAACTACACCATGTCTTCAATAAGAAAGCTTTTCAAAGGTAGCTAAATCCAAACTAGTATGTAAACTTCCTCAAATACAATTCACGCGCCAGAGTTGCATGCCAGGATTTAATTAACAAACTCCAGTGCTTGTATGCACCAGATACATAGTAACTGCCATATAAGTCAGCAAAAGTACCCATTTAGTCCTGCCTCTTGTACCTGTTTCAGAGGAAAGTGACAAAAGATCAAACCCTCTAGGTGATAATTCTGAAAGCACATCACACATGTTTTCTTCTTCTCCTGTCAAACAGTTTGTTCTAAAGCATAAAGATGTTGTTGATGTCCTCATTATATCTTTAAACATCATTATTCACATTTCCCTTACCTAATTTTTCTAAGTAACTGACTTCAGTGGGAGCTTCATTTGTTACAGGAAAACCTCAGCCAGTTTTGATATCTTGCAGAGATTGCACAGGAGCTGATGAAGCACAGCCCTGTAATATCCCTACAATGAAGACTCATATTTCACTTTTCTTCATACTGAAAGTGATAGTTTTATAGCAAAATATATTTCATATGTATTGAAAAAGAAATTGAGTTATCTTAAGCCTCCAAAGGCTGTATTCTACAGCCTTTGGAGGCTACTGATTAAGAGCATCGGATGCTGTTCATAGAAGATGTTCATAAATAAAGCTTTTCAATCTTACTTCTTCCTCTCTGTTGGTGCTCCAGCCACTAGGTTCTCCAAAACACAAACCACTTCCAATATAACATATTTGTTTCTATAGCACAAATTCTGATTTTTGGACAGAACTGGCGTATCGGTTTATGCTGCAAAGTCTGTAGCATAATTACCTCTATGGCAGCTTTCTTTGAGAGAAAAAAAAAAAAACTTATTCTGTTGCTGAAATCAGCTTTCACCTCCCTTTAGTCTAATGTGTTCTGAAGTGGCGTTTTATCAGCTTTTCTGTCTTGAATTCGAAACAACTTTCTAATAAAAATAACCTGAAATAAACGACTACCAGAGAAAACTTGTCTCTGCGCCCTCCCGCGTGCGCTGTCAAAACCGGCCCCCCACAAACTCGCGACTTCACGCGAGCGAGGTTCCGCGGCGCACCCCCTC